AACAAACTAAAAATCTATATTAAATAAGGTAAATATGACTTATCCGGTTACTTTTGCCAGTAAACATTAGGGTCTTTTATTAATATTACATAGTTACATTAAAAATAATGCACATAATGATTGTTTAAAAAAGCAGAATGTACCTATTTTTGAAATTTAATTATATATTTTTATATTGTGTGCCAGCAATGATGGTTTTGTACAACAGTGACATCTGTTGTACAACACCATTATTCAGTGTTTGTACAACTATTTGACACGAGATGGCAGGCACAGTCCTAAATCTTCTTTCAAAGCTACGTAGTACTATTATTTTTTATTCTCTGACTAAGAACAAAAGATATTTTACAGTTATAAACTTATTTAGAGTACACTTTATGTGTACAAAAAATGTACCTGCTTCCTTCGGCAACGGTCGCACTATTTAGAAGTCAACGACTCTTTATATCTTTAAGTCGCTGTTACAATAATTTACAGCGTATGAAGCCAGTGCCGTGTAGTGGTGGTGATAGAATATCCACTACCCCATATCATCCCGTGGGTGTCTTAGAGGTGACAGAAGGAAACAAATCAGGAGATGGGCAGCAGCATCCTCCTAATAACGACTAAAAATAAATAACTGCGGTTGCCAAACCGCTTGCCAAGCGTGGCAACTATGGCAAATATTCCCCTATGAGGCAATCTATGGGGAAGGCTTATGTTCAGTATTGGACTTTAATAGGCTGTAGCGGTAAGGGTGCATAAGTAAGCTAATGTGTAATAATAAAATGAAATATGAATTACAAAGAACTACCTATGTACATATAACTTTGCTATGAGTATTTAATCATTATATAAACTAATATAAAAAAAAATCTGCCGGTAGCAGCTAATTGCGACTATATTTGGCCCTCATTGGCCTGGGAAATCAACCTGGTATTTTTTGCACGAGTTGCTATTCCCTAGCATACTCATCTACAATATATATATATATATATATATATATATATATATATATATATATATAAATGTTATAATATTTAATCATTATTTGTACTAATATAATAAAAATCGCATGTATATATATTGCTGGAATACTCGAATTTTTTGCTATTCACAAGTCTATATCGATCGTTTTAACATCTACATAGATATTATACCTACCTACTACGTATTAATCCTTATCAATGGTCTAAAACCAGTTGGCATTGGAACTAGTTGTCGAAAAATAATTTATTTTCTGTTATTAACATAAGTAACATTATGTATAAGGTATTATTTATACTATTGGACTATTTTCACAATATAATAGCAATAAATTATCGTATCCAGGTTGGAATTTAAACAGTGTTCCTACAGCTGTAGAAACAAATTACCAACAAAATTATAAGGAAAAAACCGCATGAAGCCGAGGAAGGCATTGTCCGTAGTTTAGCGAGACAAAACAACCAACTCACCACTACATGCAAAATTTATGTAAGTAGGTACACTACATTGGGTGCGTTTGGCAGAAAAAAGCGCTAGCAAGCGCTTACAAGCGCTAAAACAGTTTTCGGCCAGGCACAGCTACTTCAGTAGCGCTGACACAATCCGCCATTTTGCTTATTTAATTTGTTTGTTTTGAAGTAGAAATTATAAGTTGTTTTGTGCAATGTTAGTTTTAAGTAATATAATGATATTAATAGACATTTACGTTATTAAAAATTCATGATTGGTAAGTTTTTAATATGAATACTTTACAAACATATATTTAAATTAGGTTAGGTTCCCCGGTTAAAACCAACATCGTGTCCTGGAGGAAAAAAGCTACTTACGATTTGACAGCGCTTACCGCTTACGATCGCCATTTTCTTACAAGCGCATTGCTACGCTTTTTCGCCACCCTATTGAGCATTGATTGACATAATGTAATAGAGAAAATGGATCATTCAATAAATTATTATAATAACGCTACTTTGTTGACCACGGTGGTTATTATTGAATGTTTCCATACAATCCTTGTAAAATATTCAATAATGATTTCTTGCTAACCATCAGCACACATTTATTATTTTAATTTGAAGTTATATATAAGCCTACACAGTTTTACAAGGAATGTTTTTTTTTGTATGAGGCACTTGCCAGTTACAGTTATGATTTTTTGTGATTCGAAATGTCGCAAAAAAATCCCCAACCAGTCGTTTGATTTGCCCCTCCAGAGCATTGAGTTATGTGTAATATATATAAATCAATGCTCCTGAGGCGGACATGTACCGTTGATATAACAAATTTCAGCACGGTCACGGTAATATTATCTATATAGATAAAATTACCGTGGCACGGTGGTCTCACTTTGAGATAATTATATAAGTGATCTCGCTTCGATACACAATTGTCCTGCTGGTAATACAAACAGTCCCTTTTTTATTTAATTAGTTCCATCATAACGTAGTACTATTATTTATTTTGTGCCATCATGGATTTCCTTGCTTGGGGCAAGGGGCTCGATCGCAGTACCGGCGACTTAGGCGAATAAGACGATTGAAAAGCTTAACGTTTTATTTTAGTCTCTAGAAAAAATTTTAATGGATATTTGCAACAAACGGACATTCACGTTAGGAGTTTATAAATCTTAAAATTACAACCTTCTTGATCCGAAATCTAGTTCAAAATTTATTAAATTTGTTAAATTATTGAAGTAATTGCTTAAACTCAAGGAATACTTTAAAGATTGTAGGTACCTTTTACCTAATGATCTTTGAGATGTAATTTTGTTATGTTCCATTTTATTGTCTTATACTTTTAAATATCCTTTATCTTTCTTTACCATCCATTTGGAGTTTACTTTGTTTTAACTTTTTTGATCCACTATTTTTGACGCTTTCTACCTTCATTTTAATCGCCAAATAATATTTTAGGATGTGGATTCTGCGTCTAGTATTGGTTTGTTGTGATCATCATCACTAGATGAAAATGATGTAGAAGAATTAGCGTAAATATCAGAATTCTCTTCACTCCACGAAGTGTTTTCAATAAGTATACTAGTACGTATAAACAGATCTTGATTATTAAAAGCAGCATCATCTGTACTGTACAGACCCAGAATACAGAATTCTTTCTGTATTCTGAGGTACAGACCTTCGTTCTTAAGGGCCGAAGGATTTTCAGATTAGTGAGCTTCTTTTAAGGATAGTATTTAAAATGGGATAGAAGGTGGTAAGCACGTTCCACTGAAGGGAGAATTCACGTTCTTTTATAAATTATCATGTTTTTATTTCATTATTTTGATTTAAGATAGATGAAATGGATATAATCTGAGGCATTCTGTAAACAACAAAATTTCATATTTTTGTCTGCATGATGTAGGTACTCTCTTTGTAGGTAGTAGAAGGCTAGTAGGTATCAGAAACCAAAACAGTACCTACAGTATTAATAATTATAATACCTAACTGTTTTTGTGAATATTATGGTGAACTATGTTTTTAAAATCAATTAATAAATCGAAATAACACCACTTATTTGTAACTGAAGCTTCTATCTGGGATCTTGATAGTGACTTTTCGAAATGTTTCCTGAAAAAAGAATACATTAAGGGACACACGGAATAACTTTTAAAAAAAATACTCTTGAACTTGATGTATTGTTTTTATATTAAGAAACCACTGTCTAAGACTTCATTTCACTCTACTAAATCTCAATTCAATCTACTAAACATTGATTCTGGACCCTACAGCTTCAGACCTACAGCTATTTGTATCTAAGTGCTTATTTATCTACAGTATTTATTAACAGACAGAAAAAGTGAGAGTGAGATATTTTTATTTATGTTTGTCGCGTTCTATCTCTCTTTCACGGTTGAAGGATGCAACTCATATCCACCCACTTGTAACTATATACGAATATCTTCAGAATCAGATTATATATATATATATATATATATATCATCATCATCATCATCATCACAGCCCTTCACAAGTCCACTGCTGAACATAGGCCTCCCCCAAGTAATGCCACAAAGCACGGTCCTGAGCCACCTGCATCCATCGACTTCCTGCATATCTTACCAGGTCGTCACTCCATCTAGTGGGGGGTCGCCCTACACTACGCCTACCGGTACGAGGCTGCCACTCGAGAACCTTTCTTCCCCATCGGTTATCGGTTCTTCGAGCTATATGGCCGGCCCATTGCCACTTCAGCTTACTAATCCGTTGGGCTATGTCGGTCACTCTGGTTTTACTGCGGATATCCTCATTTCTGAGTATATATATATATATATACCTATATATATATCCTCACTAAACGCCTCGAAATGCAGTGGTAAGAGCCGTAATTAGGAAATATTTCCATTAATAGATAAGTTGTAGATAAGTTTTCTAGGTCTTCGTTGTGGAATCGGCTACTACCAGCAATTTTTCCAGACCGATCCGACTATTATTTCTTAAAAGTTAAAAGATACAATCTAAAGAATTCGAGGTGATTAGATACAAACCTAACCGTGTACTCCTTAGTCTAAATGATAGCATTAAACTTTTATACTAATAACAATATTTTCAGAGATGAAAATGAAAATATTATAATCTTGTTATAGTGCAAATTTTATAACAATCAACTAGTTTGTAAACACAACTATATTACTCTATTACTGTAATATGTTTAAAAGAACAATTAAAAACATAACATTATTATCGTCTTTATCGACCACCTGACGAAACCGATACCAACCTCTTTCCAGACGCAGCTATCAAGTTGAACGATTGGCTAAACCACCAACACAAAGATAACACCGTTCATATTACAGGCGTGTCGGCTCGAACTTGTGTTTATTTACGTCCATCGTATTGTTTGTATACAGCCCGGCACCACTGCGCATCTGTCTACGTCATACCCCTCCTCCTTGCCCCCGCGGATACACTCAATTCCTACATCGAGGTCCAGTTCGCTCACTCGCTCATTCATTCGACATTCGCAAACGTTGCGCGCCGTTGACGCGGTGAGGGTGATTACTAATTCGTTTATAAACCATCATAAACTTAGTTAACGCTATGTTGAAAGAGAGTACTAGATACGATAGCCGTAACACTGTTCAGGAAGAAGGTCGTCCGTTAGCATCTAGTAGATTACCAGCTATAGAAGAATTGACCCTTGGCCTTAAACAAAAGCTTCACCTGCAAGCTCGAGCTCGTGCTGCACCTTATTATATTAGAAAGCAAGAGCCTGTCGATCTTGTGGAAAGGTTATTGGAGCAACGCGCCCTTGTCGCAGAGGCTGTTCGAAGATTACAAGAGAAAAAACAATCGTGTCATGAAATATCTGTAGATTCTTAATTATTTATAGATTATATTGGAACAAAACATTTTAGTTGTGAAAGTGTGGAACGTGTTGTGAAATCGCTTGAGTGTAAAAAACGTGTCGGATTACAATGGTGCTATATGCGGAGAGCGTGCGAGAACGAGATGGCCAACTATGACGTGTCAGGCATGACAAAAATCACGAGAACGAACCAAAATGGCCGCCGGTATTCTACAATCATAATATTTATTTTTCGCTTTATAGTGACCTTAACAGATCAAAGTACTGAATGACGTAACAAAAGTTGAGTATTGTTATGCCATTTATTTTATGTATAATTTGATTATTTCTCAGTTTTTGTGACAGTTGTTTTAGCACTGAGGATTATCCGTAATAATTAAATATACCTATTAATTTTAAGAAAAAGTATTCATGAGCTTTAACTATTGTTTATGTCCCTGAACGTAAAACTGTTCAATGGAAAAGTTAAAGTTACTGTGGTAAATATTATGTATATTACATAATTAACTTGAAATAATTAGCACAATATGTTATTAATACTGTATACTTCGACATCATGCGAACGAAACAAACATATATAATAAATAATACCTACCATACTACATTTAATTCTTAAGGAAACAACTTTAAAAAAGTGATTGTAGACATAACAGTAATGAACTGCTTTAAAAGTACAGTTACTTCCTCGCATGTGTAGTATATATAGATAAAAATTGTACCGCACAAATGCGATATCGCAGGTGTGTAACGTTTTAACCTACGTGCATACCTTGTTTTATTTAGGCAATTTTACTATAGGCAATATTTAATTTTTATTACCTATCTATGTCAGTAGTACATCAACTTTATATACAATTGTACCAATTTAGGTATGAAATAATTGTAATATTACAAGTGTGCATGTTTTAGTGCATTTTGTGATTTTAGATAGTTTAATTTATCTTCGATCTTGTGATTTAGATAAGAGCTAAGAGTTATCTAATAAAATGGAATGAATTTAAAAGAACTTTGAGTTTTTTCTTTGAATTTATCTACCTACATTTGTACAATAAGTATGACTAAATAAAATAAAAGAAGACACTACACTTTTTTCAATAAATTTCGTGTCATCAGCTTAGATTATCAGATGTCATCTTCGTAAGTGTTGAGGTTATTCAAACCACGAACAAAAGTTAAACTAATTTTGCTTATCAATACAAAAAGCTGTGATCCTGTTAAACATAAAAAAATCCCAGCTGTCATGTCGGTAGGTATCCGAAAAATAAATACAATAAAAAAATAAAAATAGCTTCTAATTTGAGATTTTACTGTTACTGGAGTGGACAAACAAAAACTTTAAAATAATACAAACGTCTCTAAAATAAGAGACGTTTAGATATAGAAAAAAGTATTAATTACTGTGTATTTAAATACTTTGAAAATATATTTGATATTGTATTAAGAAAAATATTACATCATTAATGGCAGTTGTCCCTTTAAAGGTAAATTATAAACATGATTTATGACACTATTAATTCTAGTTAGATAGATGTTACGACACTTACGACAGTAATAAAGCAAAACCGTGTAGGTATTCGATTACAACGAAAACTAGCCAGATTTTGGCTGAAATTTCGGGTGCCCCCCTCGCCCCCTTCGCCAGGTACACTATTTGCGATAAGGTGAGTACATATAAGTACTTAGTATAGTTAATTACAATGTTATTGCGAAATGCGAACAATTCTTATATCAAAGATGTTTTATAGGTACAGATACCGTGTTGCTAACACTTCGCACCGTTCACAGTGACGCCAGTCTTTGATTCATGTGTGCGTGAGTACCACGTGACGCGCATATCTTACGTACCATGCCTGCATTAGTGTGCGTGACTTCGGTAATAATAGAGCGAATCGATTGCCCAAAAATTTGGGAGATTTTATATTTCATTCATATTGACATACCTGAGTGTAAAATGTGTGTGCGAGGCGTGTGCATTTGTGTCCGTATGTGAATGGGGATATACACACAGAAGGGATATGGGTGGTTATATGTGTTTTATGTAGGTACGAAAATCGCACTAAAATAGTGAAATAAGTAATAAAACCTAGATATAATTAATGTAACAGTTAAAAATAAATAAAATATCACAGTAGATATTTATGTATCTAACATATATTGAACTAATCTGTTATTATTGAATATATATAAAGTACTACACTTTCGTACCTTAGAACCCAAAATATTTTCGCTTTTACGAAGACATTAATTATTTTTTAATCTTAAGTAAAATGACGTACAAAAGTAAGTTTGATTAAGTGTAACCGTAAAAGTTAACTTCGGCAAAGAGATAGCAAATGTTTTTTTAAAATTCATATATCGATCCAGTTTCATGACTAGATCAAATAACCGGTTAAACAACCGGTTCACAACGGTTGCGTATCGGCTGCTTTGGATAAATATCCGTTGTCAACAGTTGCTTTACATCTATTAATGACATTAAAATAGGGAAAAACATTTCATACGGTAGGCAACACTCGAATATTATTGCGCAGTATTATTACTTGCATTGACATTCAGCTTTCGTATTATTTTATCAAGAAATACACCAGAAAATTGTATATTTACTTATTAAAAGTGATGTTCTTATCCTTATCTTTTTTCCAAGAGTAATTTTTACATGATTTCACAGCACAAACAGTCATTTTGTGAAATTAAAAACACTGGTGCGTGATGTACGTTCGCAGTGAACGTCGCTGGCGTAATGGCGGAACGATCGAACGAATACGCCAATATTGGCGCCTTTTAAATGGAAGCGTTTTAGGCGCGCGTACACGGTATCTGTACCTATAAAACATCTTTGTCTTATATTTAATTTTAATGATTTAACGTTATTTCGGCATATTTATTTTACTTAGGTGTTTGGTTGTTGTTCCAGTCGTTATTCTGTTTTATCGCTATATTTAAAACAAATAATATGTGATACAACTGGTATAAAATTTATTTGAAAACGTGCCTTCTTGTGACGAGTAGCAGCGATTATATTTTTTTCATTATTTTCTAGTTAGGTACTATCTAGTTTTATTATTTTACACTTAATACTACATATTTAAATTTCAACTTTGAAGAATTTTATTTGTAGTATAAATAAGAACGTATTTGCTTCACAATATGCTGATGATTTTATTCCATACACAACATGTCATAACTTAATGGAACATTTAAAATTAAACAAGCAGCTTGTTACAAGCTCCATGACTTTTTGTCAGAAATTGGCTTAGAACTTTTTTTTAAAGCAAAGTCTGTTTGTTTAGAAAGGTAGTATAGAAGAAAAAAGAGCTCTATTTAGAAGTGGTTGACATTATAAAATATTTGATAATGTGCCTGGACTATTCGTTGAGATGGTCTAAATATTTAGAGCTTTAAAAAATGTAATAGAAATAATTAATGTTTTTAAAACTTGGAACGGACGTGGTTGTGGAGTGCATCCAATATTAGTATTAGTGTTCTGTGATCCAACTCATCTATTCAAAATCTACTCTTGTTTGAAATGAGGCATTATCCAAACTCAGGTGTTAATTACGCAACATAGAATTAATTACGCCTGCGACGGCTCCGTGTCGCAGTGGCTTAGCAATAAGTTGCAGTTGTAATTTAGATATAGTATCATGGAGGACCTCTACACTCCATATATAGTAGCTAAAAGTTGTCACAGTAAGGGCCTGCGCTCACAGACGGAACGGCATGGCACGACGTGACAAGTTGTCACGCCGTGCCGAAGTATACCTTGTCACTGAGAAGATATACATACTTCGGCACTTCATGCCGAAGGATCCCGTAGCATCCCGCGGCTTGCTAAACAAGTCAAGACACGCTCGCGTACCGGGCGCTCGCGCGAGTCACTAAGATTGCCGCCGCAACGGTTTAAATTCAACCTTGTATCGAATACTTAGCACTAACATTCCTTTAACAACATAAAGTAACCTAAGTATACGTTTCACGTGAAGTAACGGCGTGTCCGCGGCATCCCATAGATTACTGTATTTATATTTTATACCATGGAATGCCGCTCAGCACAGTATGCCAGTGTCACGCGAGACGTTTCGGCTCAGAGTAATTAATAGCATATGTACGTATGTATGCTATGCATACGTATGTAATTACTCTAAGGCCTCTGCCTCGAATCTTGCGGGCAGCGGAGCGACGGCGACGGCGGCGCGGGAGCGGGGCGGGCAACGCAGACCCGTTCACGAAACTAGCGGGCAGATCGCGCGACACTATAGCATGCGTAGTATCCTCTTGTTAATCTGTGACTATAGCGGCGTAGTGATGTGTTTATGGTTGTGTTGTCGAGATATTTGTTTTTATTTGCGAACGAAATGTCTGAACAACGGCGACAACATCTTTTTGATCAAATTTATTTCTAACACTCGATTTACTGTAGGCAAAAGAGGAAGTGAATCTCTGCTATAGGGCAAGGAAAAGAAAAGGCGAGTTTTATCGAAATTACGAAGAACTGAGACAATGTCCCAACAAATTCTACGACTACACCAGAATGAGCGTAGAAACTTTTGACTATATTCTTGAAGCTGATCAAGGGCGATTTAGAGTCTGTAATTAATCCAAACGATATAGAGGTATATCTCCAGCAGAAAAATTGTAATTTGCAATTGTATTTATTGATAGTGTCAAAAAAAAATTGTGGTGCACTAATTTAGTAAATAATTTGACAGCAGATGCAATCATTTTAATGAAATACCTACTAAAAACTAATCAGCCTTAATCATTTATTTATGACGAAAACATTTTTTAATATAAAATAGGTACGTTACGTATGAAATAAGTAACAAAACAGTTTGTTTTTGAAACGCATTCAAATATTGATGATTATAACTTTATAACCTTAGAACTAAAATCGCAGTTACAGTCATTTATCTCTAAAATCATAGTTTTCATTTGTACGATGATTAGTTATTTCTACAATCACAGTTTTGTTATTATTTGAGAGTATTTTTATTATAAGGTTGATATACCTAGTGTTGAGTATTATACCCACACATATATGATTCATTAGAAGGGTACATTTCTTCATTTACACTTAACTCGTATAGAAGAGCTTGATTAATTTTTTGTCTCACTCTATACTTTTGTACTGGCGTGAATTTTTCCATTTGTGGAAGCAAACTCATAAAAAAGTAGTAGTCGTCTGACTTATTCTCACCTGTCTACTTTGATTTGATAAATCATTTTTCAACAGTCTTATCCTTTTATTTTCCAATTCTAAAAATTCAGTTCTTATGCCATTCGCTGTTTTCTTTTTTCTTGACCGTTGTGAAGTAGAATCTTCTCTTGAAGGTGTAGAAGCTTCTTGCGATGATGTAGATTCTTGTAAAGATATAGAAGCTCCTTGTGAGGATGTAGAAGCTTGTTGTGGATGAATAGAAGCTTCTTCATCACGATCGGTTGTATTTTCTTGAGAATTTTCTACAGAGATATCTCAATAGAATCTTTACTTATCTGATTACTTGTTCCAGTGCTGCTTAAATTACCCTCAGTAACATTTGGTAGAATTTCATCTCGCAAAAAACTCAATTGAGAAAAGTATTGGCAATTCGAGGATTGATTAACATATCCGGCATCTTCTGATCGAGGAGCAGGATTTTTTTTAAATTCTTTTCTATAGTGATCTTTTATATTTTTCCATTTTTTCGTTAAATTGGTCACTGAAACAAAAGAATGAACAGACTGTATATTACATAGATAACTTTAACATTTATGCTTTAATTTTCAGGTTTTTGGCGAGTGGGCAGCCTTTCAAAAGACTGTCGTCATCATTCAGAATGGGAAAAACAACGGTGACCAACATAGTTTATAGCACGTGTAGAGCTATGTGGAAAAATTTAGTGGATTTACATATGCCAAAACCAACAGAAGTATTATTGAAAAGAATATCGGAAAAATACTACGAATATCAATTCCCTTTACTATACGAATAAAAAATCCTACTTTGCGATCATCGCATTATAATTATAAACATTACTTTTCGATGCACTTGCAACGTTGCGGATGCTGACAAAAGATTCATTTGTATAGAAGTTGGAGGAAGAGGAAAACAAAGCGATGCAAGGACATTCCATTACTCTAATTTGAACCATTTACTTCAAAGTAATAACTTCAATATACCCGGTCCACAATATCTACCCGGATCAGATATTATACTACCAATTGTTTTAATTGGAGTTGAAGGATATCAAAAAAATAAAATAAATGTAAATATTTGTACCCTTTGTTTTGATTCATGCAACATTTTTCAGCAAAAATCCTGTGCCACACAGAAGTTTTTCTAGAGTATTATACCATTTTAGAATCTTGGTTAGTTGCGTCAATTTTTAAAAAAAAACTTGCCATAGTAGTGTCACCAGTACTTTTTTTTTACACCATGATGAGTGAAAGTGGACTGAAAGTAAAAATCTTTAAAAAACATAAACATAAACACTCACGCCTGTCACCCAGAGGGGTAGGCAGAGACTACAGACTTCCATTTGGCACGATCCTGACACACTTCTCTCGCCTCCTTCACATCCATACACCTACGCATGCATGCTCGTCGGTTAAGGGTACTCCTAATTTGGCCCGTTTTCAATAAATCGCCAATTTGGTCGATAAATTTTCGCCTAGGACGTCCCTTTCCGACTCTGCCATTCACTTCTGCAACATAAATTTTCTTTGTCACTCTTTCCTCATCCATTCTTTCCACATGACCAAACCACCGAAGCATTCCTTTCTTAATCCTGGTCACAACATCATCTTGCAAACCACACTCTTCTCTTATCACACAATTTTTCACCCTGTCATTCAGATTCAGCCCTAACATACTCCTTAACGACCGCATTTCTACTGCATTTATTCTACTCTCGTGCTTCTTCTGCCATACCCAACTTTCACTACCATACGTTAAAGTAGGGACCACCACAGCATTGTGAGTTGCCATACGTGCCTTTTTTGACACATTTTGACTCTTCACAATAGAGTGCAGGGCTCCATTTACTCTGTTTCCTGCGTTCACTCGTCGTTCTATATCCTTATCATATCTCCCATCCCTGCTAAATACGCAACCCAAATATACAAACTCATCTACTTGCTCGATCAACTCCCCTTCTATTCTTATTTCACATATCGTTTTACTTTCATCTCTTTCAAAAACCATAATTTTTGTCTTACTTGCGTTCACTTTCATACCCCTTTCTTTTAATGATCTGTTCATTAATGTAACCATCATTTGCAACTCAGCCGCCGACGACGCAAGAATAACTTGATCATCGGCGTACAAAAGGTATTTGATGGTTAACTCACCCATTCTTAATCCGCATTCTTCAACTTTCAAATTTTGCAAACAACTGTCCATAAATCTTTAAAAAAATTAGGGGAAAAAATAATTTTGATTGATTTTCGTGTAAAAACTACATGTATTCTGGGATTTATAAGGCTTGTGGTAGATAGCAGTACTACTAAGGTTGCCGATACAAAAAAAAATTAAAAATGTGCTCATGGTAGTTAAAAATACCATATCGGGGTATCGATTTTCGAAGAATTTCATTTTTTTGTGATTTCGAAAACGATTTAGATTTTTTCTTTTTTTTCTCAAGTAGTCATGAGCAGGTCCACCCTCTGGTACTCGTTTATCGTTGAATTTTGGGACACGTTGTATATACAAGAATTGCTCGTTTAAAGGTATTAAATACTGAATAAATGTGTTAGTAATAAAAAAAAAAGTTGAACATCCAAAAATTGATCGTGAGTGTGAAATCTTAAATTGAAATTTTTAACTGACAGCAGTCCACGGAGTTTTCCGGGCGCACCGTAATCCGCTGGTTTCAGTTCGTTTTAATTACTGATACGTACTGTTTACTTTCTTAGTAGCTACTAACACTATTTCTATGCTGTCTAGATTTTTTATTATTTTATATATTTTCAGTTCGTTACGAAGGAAGACAGGTGCTGTGAGATGTCACCTTCCTTATGATTGACTCAGAAGGTGGATAAAGGAGCTCAGTGATGCTACAAAGTACCATCGTGTTAGAACTCATTTTAAAAAAGTACATGAAGACCTAGATGACTGTGATGAAATCACCTTGCTGATGGTGAGCTCCGGAAGTGAGTTTAAGATCTCAGTGATGTCATTCCATAGAACCATTGTGTTCGGACTCATTTGAAAGGTACTCATAAATACCTAGATGGCAGTCATGATTTCACGTTCCTTATGGTGAAATCCGAAGGTAGGTTTAGGATCTCAGTGACGGCACTAGATAGAACAATCGTGTTTGAAGTATTTTGAAAGTGCTGATAAAAACCTAGGTGACCATTATGATCTCGCCTTTCTGGTGGTGCAATCCGAAGGTGGGTATCTCAGTGACGGCACTAGATAGAACGATCACGTTTGAACTCATTTGATAGGACTCATAAAGATCTATTTGGCTGTGATTATCGTACCTTCATGATGGTTGACTTAGAAGGTAGGATAAAAGATTTCAATGATTTTAAGAAGTAACTAGTTAAAATATCCTTTTAGATTTATAGTTGGTTGTGGCTTATTACCAGACTGTGTAAGTATTAATTACTCACTTAATTTATTATGTTTTCAGGCAATTAAAAAAAACAGCAAAACTCCTAAGTAGGTCCAAAATTATAAATCTGCCATATATTTTACAGGCAATAAAAAACAAGCCACACCGGAAAAGCTGCATAACTAACTACAACCAGAAGACAAAAATATCCGCGTACTCCAAGAAAGCCTACAAGCACCATCAACACCAATTCCTATAAATAATCAACTTACCTGTACCTACTCGGTATTTATAATTCAATTATTTTTGACTGGAAGTAAGATGTTTAGATTCTGTAATTAAAACACTTTTATACACAATGATTTATTACACGAATACTAAACATATAATAAAACAAATTTTTCGGATTTTATTGTGTATACTTTATCTTATTTTTACTTATTTAAATTCCCGCCGTTTGAGTGCTTCAACTTTATAAAAAAAATATCAACAGTCCTAGTTGAGTCCTAGAACTGACTGTGTCTGGAAGTTTCTTTGGCTTAAATCTGTTTAAACTGATATCAGTTCAATTGATCAGTTTAACTGACCGTGTTTGTCTTGCACAAGAATTAAAAATCCATCAAAATTATAAAATACATGTTTTAAACTACCGTACCAAGTAATAATTATATAAAGATTACATATGTATATAATTGGATTTATGGTAGAGAACTTTAATTTCGTAGATATTCTTCCAAATTGTAACAACAGCTTTGTATTTAATAATTATTCCAATTAATTAAAGAAATTATTAAATGGAAATAGTTTGTTTTTATTTCTTATATTCAAAGATAATAGTAAAAATTGTAAATTGGAAGGGGAGTAAGAATATTGTCCACAAATTATTACAAAGTTGTATGTAGTATTGTCAAATACCCTGCTTTACCGATCCGCGTGTCAGTTAGAAGTAGTAAAACAATTTACACATAAAAATTTATTTAGATTTAATTATTTTTTTAAGATCGTATTTTCTGAAGTAAGGTTATTTCTATATGTTCAAATACTGATTCTGATAATGCACTTAACGAGAACCATAGGATTTTTGTTACTTGTATGCGTCATAATATTACCTATGTAAGTCTTAACATAATATTATGTTCGTCTCTAATATATTCCATGTAAAAAAAAACTTTTTAAAACTGTCTATTATTGATAGGTCGATGTGTTAAACACCAAAAAATGTTTTATTAAATTATTGTGCACCAAGCAGTAATATAATAAACGTTGCACATAGCATAAAACTTAAGTAAAATATCAGCCCAATACGCTACTGGTATTTAACATTATTAAGTTTTCGTCGCGATTTTAAATATACATTATAATAGCTTCAGTATTAGATTAAGTTAGATTTTATTTTTTGTTTTTTTTTTATTTTTCCCTTCATCAGCCGACCTCCCTGTTGTATGGAATATAAGATATGAGTATGAACTATAATTCTTCCAGGAAGTTTTATAAATCAATGAAGAAATGCTTGTCAAAACTAAGATGTCGGTTTTTTTTAGAATTTATTATACCTAATCATAAATTACCTAACCTACGACATTTCTATAAACTTATTTTATGTTTAAATAGATGTAAGCTATTACTCTAATATTATTATATTATTATATTATTCTAATATTATTTTTGTAGTTTACTAAATTAATACAAACGCACAAAACCTATAAAACGTAAATTCTTTGTAAATTAAGATAAATTAGATAATTTCTATTTACTTGAATTCGGGGGTGAAGAGATACTATGTAGGGATGAATAAAGAAGAAATGCTAGGGCTATCGAACTTCAACCACTTAACTCAAACGGTCGGTGTGTAAGGCTCTAATGTTAACATACTTGCGCGGTGCAGAGCTGGCATTTCGCTTTACACTTCTGCCAGACCCGTAACGACTTCTCAAACTCAAGTACCGATCGTCTAAGTTAAATTGTACCTAGTATGTACTCATTTCTAAAGAATGCACCTGCGATTCCCCTGATGTTGTAGTTATTCATGAGCGCCGGTAGTCACTTACAATCAGGTGAGCCCCATGCTCGTTTGCCCCCTATTTTATAAAAAAAATCAGGGTGGGTAATAATTAGATCAGTGTAACTATAAAATATTATTATTCATGAGTAGGCCAATTTAATTTCAATACAGCGCGAAGAATTGACTACCGGGGGAATGGGGAAAAAAGGTTTCCGAATGGCAGCCACGTACTAGCAAGCGAATTGTTAAGCAAACTCCCCTAGATAGAGTGAAAGTGCAGGTGGCTCAGGAACGGGCTTTGTTGCATTACTTAAGGGAGGCCTGTGTTCGACAATTTACTTGTGGAGGACTGCAACCATGATGATGATGATAAAATCTCAGAGAATTTCAGCGTCACCTGACTTATATCTTACTATTATATATATATATG